CAGTCAACCTACAGGCTACAGGTAGCCACTTAGATTGACCAGTTTGAAAGATTAAAGCAGGCCCAGCAGGGCTCCTCAACCTGCCGGTTGGTCGTCTAGATGTTGGTGTCACTTCAATGGTGAACAAGTACAGTATGAAGGGGGAAGAGGAGGAGGGAGAGAGAGGTGCAGTGTTGTATATACGGTACATGGTGGTTTCCTTCCCCACTCTGTATTGGGGAGTGAGAACACTGAGAAGAGAAAGTACTCAAGAGAGGTAAGATGGAGTGCCTCAGCGGAGTCAGCGCAAGTCTAGAAGCCGTCAACCGGTCAAATACAGTCAAACACAATTTATTACCCTTCCAGGGTTCTATTGGTACACTTATCAAATTGACGCGTGGTGTCTGTGGTGACGTACTGGTACATAGTACATACTATCGCCAAATAGAGCGGAGTATTTGCAGACGCTTCACCAACCAAACTCACACAGTTTTGTTTGGTCCATCATTTGCACGGCTTTTTGCACCCTCTGTTCACATTCCTCGTCTGTGTCGTCCCGACGTCCCCCAATCGCGCCACAGAGGGCAGGATCATGGGTAAGGTGGGGCAGATGCACTAGACTGCCGCGGAGAGCGGCGGCGTCTTTTAAGTTCGATCAGCATCACCACAGCTGTTACCGCGACTCGGCGCGGAGTCTTCAAGCTTCTTGTCCAGTTCCCAGTCTGGGACTAGTCCCAGCCTGATGTCAATCTAGTACAGTAGTACTTTTTCACGTACTGTACCCTTGTACCAGTGTGCCGTTTGCTGACAGCCCGACAGTTTGCGCACCTGTGCAAGAGTGTTTCCACGAAACAGCCCAGTAGTTCATCAACATCATCTGCAAAAAAAGTGAAAGATGCGCACGTACTCCTCCTCAAGCAAAGGAAAGAATGCATCTTTGTAATGGACCCCGTCTATCTACACCGATTCTACAAGATCTTTAGAGAGAAGTCTAGACGCATAACGAGAACGTCGACATCAACGCAGCGTCACATCGATGTCCCAATCAGCGAATCAGCGGAGTTACTCCTGCGCTGACCTCATGCCGAGTACACGCTGCCCATGGAACACGAGGAGAGGAGACCCTCGAGGAATGCAAGCAGTTCGATAAGTTAAAACTTAGATACAACTTATTGGGTGCGGAATAAACACGCATAATTAGTGTCTGTCCGACTCTGTTGTTGTCGGGGTCAACCCGGTCAAGCAATCGTTCTAGGCTCTAGCACCCTTGGGGGCCTTGACGGGATCACGCAGTGGCAGGCATTGGCAGCGGTGCCATGCGGCGGAGGATGCGATCTGTTATAAAAAATGGAGGGCCATGGTTTTCTGACGCACGATTCTCAGTGTTCTCACTGCTCTCTGGATGGGATCATTATTCAGATGGAGCTGATTCTATGTTTAGCTCACAGACTCAGACTTGTAGGTTCAAACTTGTAATGCTCTGGAAAGACTGGAAGACTGGAAGACTGGAAGTCGACATGCTAATACGTCAGCAGCTGAATTACACCTGGTGACCTGGGTGGTCCTTTGATGTTATGTCACATTTTCA